GACCGTCTCCTTTATGAAACAGTCTAAAAACAGACCAGCCTTCTCCAGATCGGACGAATGAAATAATTTGCATTTGTACCGACAGCACACCACTGTAACTGTCAGTAATGGGGTGTTTACATCTCTGCGGATTTGCTAGCCTTAGTTTACTAGCCAACTAGCATGAATTTCAGTTTCAGTTGAAATCTTATGCTGGTAGACGCTGATGTCCTGTTTACATTATACTGGCAAGCTTTTCTGCTAGCAGCTGGCTCATTAGCGCTAGTGTAATAGCGTAAGTGTAAACAGTCCATAAGCGAAGATTGGCTGGTTTCCGGTTCATAAAAGTGATTTTATGGAATTGACCATTTCGCCGGTGTAACTGGATATCAAGAAACGCACTTTATAACTACTGGGAGATCGAATCAATATGGTGCTGAGATATATTTGTTCAACTAAGGGCTTTATGCATTTTCTAAAAAAAATCGCAAAGCACTAGATCCACTTCCAGAAAATGACTACTTTTTCGGTGATTTCAGATATCTTGAGAATCGTTTTCTGGTGAACCAGTGCATAATCTCTATGGTGGTGATATATGTCCTCTATACTCAAGAGTGTATGCATTTATATCCAGAAAGGTGTTCAATAACCACCGGGGGACCTAATCAATATGCCACTGAGATATACCTTCTCAACTAAGGGTTCTTCACATTTCCTAAAAAACGTGGATCTCTAGGTCTACTTTCAGGAATTTACCATTTTCCCGGTAAATCCGGATATCCGCAGGACCACCTTCTAGCTATCCATTAGCAGAATCGATATGGTGATGATATATTTCCTCTACTCTAATGATTGTATGCAACTTAGAAAAAAAAAAATCGCGGATCTCTAGGTCTACTGTCTGGAAATGGCTATTTTTTACGTGATTCCGGATATCCAGAGGACCGTTTTCTGGCAACTTGGTTTCAAAATAGATATGGTGATGGTATATTTCCTCTATGCTCATTATTGTATGCAATTTAGGAAAAAATCGCAGATCTTTAGGTCTTCTTCCAGGAATTGACCATTTTCCCGGTGAATCCGAATTTCCACAGAGCCACCTTTCACGGGTTTTATCGTTCCGATTGGCCACCCACAACTCCAATCGGTTCCTTGTCTGTTCCGTTTGAAAGTAGATAGCCATACCTTTCAAGTAGTGGCTCAATCTTAAGATGTGGTGACCAAATTGCCGAGAACCAGTCATGTCAACATGAATCGACGCGCATTTTACTCGGGACTTTTCCGGGTTTTCCGTTCCGGCTGGCCAACTACAGGTCCAATTGGGTTTCTATCTATTCAAAATAAAATCAGATAGCCCTAAGCCCATCAACCCTAAGTACTCCTTGGAAAATTTGTCGACCTTCTTCTTCCGGAACATCCAGGCTGGTTTATCTAATGAAAAACTCCAGGTCGGGGATCTGCTTGGCGTCCACTGTAATGTACGTCTCGTCGTCCATTACGATGCATTTCGGCTGCACCAACCACTCGTGGTACATCTGCCTGGCGTGGGATCTGGCCACGGTATTCAGTTTATCGGTTCGGTTAGGCGCCTTCCTTACCTTGAAGACATAAAGTCTGGCGCACTTCATTGTCTGCAGGACGAACCACCCGGAAGAATTGACCTTCTTGGCCACGTTTCGAATCGAAAGGATCGGATTGCGCTTGAAATAATCCCTCACCTTCCTTGCGTTCACGGGGTCGGTCGTCTTCGCTTTTCTTCCGCTGCCAGCTCGCCGCTGGGTCGTCTGAGTTTCATTGAGCGATTTTACCACACGGGACTCGGTCGAATTGTCGATTCTAAACTGTTTTTCCGATTCAAAACTGTGCTCCTATAATTTTTTGTCGAAGCACTTCTTGCTTGCAAGCCATCTCAATAATCACTTGACAGATTGTGACGAGATTTTGGACATGCAAACATTACACTCTTAACTAGTTTTACACAAAATTTCATCAATTTTTACTCATGCAATAAAAATAAAGTGTTGCATTTTTTTCGAGTACAATCTTTGCATGAAAGCACCGAAAAGACTAAACAGGTTTGCCAGATATACCGATTTATCGTTATTTATACCGATTTGCAAGCTTGATACCGATATACAGATAAGGTTTCTCAGAATACCGATTTTTGATTTTTTATACCGATTTATACCGTTATTTTTGAATAATCATGCGTATTGTCAACCCATGCTTAACTGTCAGGAGAAACTATTGTGAGAGACGTTCATTTTTTTTTATTAACTCCCGTCTTCTCTTGTCAGTTTTTTTTTCAACTTCCCCGGAACTTCAGGGATGCTAACAGAGCTCTATTTCAATTCCATTAGTTTTAGGAAATCTACAGGAACGTTTAATAAGTTCTGAAACTTCAGAAATGTCTAAATATGAGTATGTTTAAAGATCTGTAAGGGCAAGTTTCTATAAATTAAAGACAGTTACATTAGGTTCTGTTAAAATTCAAGAAATCGGAAATTTCAAAAATGTCTAGAGAACTCCAGTTAACTTGAGGAAACATCATACATATTTTGGAAACTTCACATGTCCAAAGAACTTCAAGGAAATTGAATTGTTTTCAGGACAGTTCCATTCGTTTCAGGTGAATTGAGATAAATTTAGGAAAGCTCAGAGAACATCAGTACAGATCAATTAAGTTCAAGAATATTATTGAAACTTTAAAGGACTTCCAAGAAACTCAAGGATTTTCCGAAAACATCAGCAAAGTTCCAAGAGGATCATGAAAATTTTGGAAATGTATGGTAAGTAACATTAATAACTCATGTAATGGAGAAAACAATTTAAGGAAGATCCGTGCTGGTAATGGCAGTTTGAAGAACATTTCTTAATTGAAAATAATCGGGAAGATCAGAGATTTTCAATGCTGATGTTCCATTAATGTTATTAAAATTGTGAGTGCACTTAAGAACCCAAGCAGCACAAAGCTGTGGCAGAAGCTCACATAAAAGTTGCTTGAAGTGTTCTGCTAGGGCAGTTCCGAAATCATCAAGAAAGACCAAAACCTTCAAAGAACTTCTAACAATAAATATATAATATAAATAACATTACATATACATTGTGTCGCTTGTGAGTAAACTTACGGTCACCCGCCGGCTATATATCAACGTTTAACCCGTGTGATTTAGAATTGATTCAGTCGTGTTTCGTGTTGTTGAGTGTAGATTTGTTTGCCGTACCTCAGGAAAGTGGAGGTTTTTGCGTGACTAGTGATTTAGTAGAGAAATTCTGTGATCATAATTATCGTCCCACACACCGGTGGTGGCGACTATCTGTTATTGTTCACTCTATCACTCTTTGTTTGCATCCTTGCTGCACTGCACTGTGCTACCATAGAGGTAACTCTAAGACCACTGGGTCCCGAAGAAAATCATTATTATTTTTGGCTCACTCAGTACCAGAACAACGGTCCCAAGCAGTCCCAAGCTATTTCACTCACCCCTGCATGTTCTGCATGAATCCACACACCCCTGATGTTATCTGTCAAACTTTCATAGCGAATCAAAACAAACATAGTGTAGTAATAGAATTTCAACTAGAATAGGGTACGTTAGTCGTTTGCTTGGGACCAATAGGCTACTAAAGTGGTGAGCCAATTTAAAATCGTTAGTTTCGTATTGATTGTTGGTGCTACCGTACTTTCTGCTCAAGTAGTGTCCCAACTATAGTTTTTCGATACGTGGTAGTCGTGGTTTCACGTGAAAAATAAGATTTTAACTTTTGTGACCATGGCTTGCAAAAAGTGCACCAAAACCGTTTCTGACTCAGACCGCATCGTCTGTCGTGGATTTTGTGGGGACACATTTCACGTGATTTGTGCCAAAGTTGATGTCGAACTTCTCGATCAGCTTGGACTGTACGCGAACAACGTTTTCTGGATGTGCGACCACTGTGCGGAACTTTTTTCCAACGGTCACTTCCGGAATATTGTCAGCCGCGACGCGAGTTTGGGTTCTGTGATGCCAAGTGCGGTCGATTCGATGAAGGAAGACATTGAAAACTGAATTCGGCTGTTACTGCATTGGCAGCCAAAGTGGACTCTAAGATTCCTGCTAGCTCAACTCCACGTTGGCCTAGACCTGATCGTTTTGATTCTGGTAGTGGTTCTTCGAAGCGTCGCCGTACTTCTAGCTCAGACAACAAATCGATGCAATGTGGGACGAAAGGATCGATCGATTCAGTTAGACCCAATGATCTGAACGATGATCTGGTGTGGATCTATTTATCGGCTTTTCATCCTAGCACTACAAACGATGAAATTGCATCTCTCGGGACGCAACAACACAGTGTCTTGGAAGTGTCGGTGAAGAGGTCTTCCAGCCTGTACTAACATTTCCAGTAACAATTACTTAACGCGTTGCGTGGACGTAACAAGCTCAACGCCTTCTAGACTCCTGACGTACCATGCTAGCCAACCAGGACGCATTGTAGAAAGTTTATTGGAAGCCCCCAGTTCCTCTAACACAGTCGTGCACGTCCCTGCCTGCGTTCATCACAGTCGTCCTGGACCTGAGTTTAGATGTGGGCTGGGGGTCTTCCAACCTCCTATGACAGGCAAGTACACACTCAACCATTCAAATTCGATACCTGATGCCGATCGAACTTTCAGCACTTTGAATGCCGCTGTGCCAACTCCATCTCGAAACTCGGAACGCATCGTAGAAAGCCTCATGGAAGTCCCCAATCCCTCCGCCTCAGTCCTGCCACTTGCTGTCTCCGCGCATCATCGTCGTTCCGGGCCTGTGGTCGGATGTGGAGAGGGGATCTTCCACCCAACTTATTTTGGCGAGTATTCTTCCGATCTTGACGTTGGTCAGCTACTTCCTGTCGTTCCTGTGACTTCCAGGAAGAACCAAAGCCCGCTGACATGCCGTTTGCAGAACACCGAGACCCTCAATCACAACGACCAATTTTCCGTTTCAAGCCGAACATCAGCCGCCATTTCATCTAGCCTGGGACGCACGTCACAAAGCAGTATGGAAGCCCTGGACCCACCTAGCTCTGCTGCGCCCACTACTGGTTCCAGTCCTGGTAGGTTCACACGCCCCCACCATCTAAGTCGTCCCGGCCCTGAGTCTAGTGCTGGGGACAGGGCTTTCCAAGCTGCCATCCACGGCAAGTACCCTTATTCTTTCGACGTTGCTCTGCCTGATGCTGCCTCCACTTCCAGATTGCAGCCCGCTGTTCCATGCGTCCCAGCATCTCAAATTCTGCTATACTACCAGAACGTCGGTGGCATGAACAGCTCACTCGCCGAATACCAGCTAGCATACAGCGACGCATGCTACGACATATACGCCTTCTCGGAAACCTGGCTGAATAACAACACTTTGTCAAAGCAGTTGTTTAACGATACATATTCCGTCTACCGTCAAGATCGATCAACCCTCAACAGCAACAAGACCTCCGGTGGTGGAGTCCTTCTGGCCATTCGCTCCTGCTTCGTATCTCGCTTACTGAAACCTCCTGAAGATTCGACGGTTGAGCATCTGTGGGTTGCAATTTCGACTCTAAGTGGTACAATCTATATCTGCGTGATAAACGTTCCTCCCGACCGCGTTAACGACCACAGCCTGATTGAGAAGCATGCACTTTCGCTGGATTGGATTGTCTCTCAAATGGATGCCAGGGACAGCATCGTCATCTTGGGCGATTTCAACCTTGGCACTGTATCGTGGCTTAGCGATGCTCACGGCTTCTTCTTTTCTGACAATTCCCGTTCATCGTTCAGACCGGCTTCTCTCTCCTTGCTTGACGCGTATTTAACCGCAAGGCTTCAACAAGTGAATGGCGTTCTGAATGCAAACAACCGTTTGCTCGATCTGTGCTTTGTCGGGGAGGATTTGGGACAAAGCTGCTCTGTTACCCATGCTCCGGCACCGCTCGTCAAAAACTGCAGACATCATTCACCTCTACTGTTGACGCTTGCAATCGATCCTGAGAAACGCTTCCAAGACCACGCCGAAACCGTCTTCTACAACTTTCACAAAGGAGACTTCGAGCGAATGAATAACTTTCTCGCTAATGTGGATTGGAATGCGACACTAGACTCCGGGGATACGAATCTGGCTGCCTCGACCATGTGTGGTATCATATTCTACGCTATCGATCAGTTTGTGTCTAAAAAACTACGGTGTAAACCTGCCAAACCCGCCTGGTCGAACTCTGATCTTAAGCATCTGAAAAAGGTGAAAAGGGCTGCACTGAGGAAACACAGTAAATATCACACAGATTCTACGAAGGCTAATTACGTCCGCGCCAACAACGAGTACAGAGATCTCAATGCAAGCTTGTACAACGCGCATCAGTCTCACTTGCAGAGTCGTCTCAAAGCTAATCCTAAGGAATTCTGGCGATATGTGAACGAGTAACGGAAAGAAACGGGATTGCCGTCCAATATGACTGATGGCGTTACTGATGCCAACTCCGTCGCAGATATCGCCAATATGTTTCGCACACAATTCAGCAGCGTTTTTGCAGACGAAGTTCTTGATGCTCAGGAAATTGCTGCTGCCACGAGTAATGTCCCTCGTACGTCGGTGTTTGGTTCTCCATTCACCATCCACAGCGACATGGTGATTTCAGCCGGGAAACAGATGAAAACATCAACAGGATCTGGTCCAGATGGCATTCCCTCATTAGTACTGAAACGTTGCTTAGACACTCTCTCAGAGCCCTTAGCTAAGGTCTTCAACTTGTCAATGACCTACGGAGTTTTTCCAGAATGTTGGAAGGATTCGTTTGTTTTCCCTGTTCACAAAAAAGGATGCAAGCAGACTGTCGCCAATTACCACGGAATAGCTGCATTGAAAGCTATCTCCAAACTATTCGAGCTAATTGTCCTGGAAAAGTTGGTTCAAGACTGCTCGTACAGTATTTCTCAGGATCAACACGGCTTCATGCCTAAGCGCTCGACGACGACTAATCTAACTGTTTTTACATCGTTCATTATTCGTGAGATTGAACGTGGCCATCAAGTTGACGCCATATACACCGACCTCTCTGCAGCTTTCGATAGAGTGAACCATGAAATTACCATCTCTAAATATGACAAAATGGGTGTTCATGGGAGTCTACTTACATGGCTTCGCTCCTATCTGACTGGCAGATCTATGTCTGTTAAGATCGGTGACTACGCTTCTCCACCATTCATTGTTACATCTGGTGTTCCTCAAGGCAGCCACCTGGGGCCATTGCTTTTCCTGTTGTATATGAACGACGTGAACTTGATCCTCGTACGCCGACGACATGAAGCTCTACTACGTAATAAAAGGGCCTCAAGACGCTCATTTCCTCCACCAAGAACTTGAAGTCTTTGACGATTGGTGCCGGATAAACAGGATGTCTTTAAATGTGTCCAAGTGCTCGGTCATCTCCTTTGGCCGTAAACGGGCGATGCATTTCCACGATTACACCTTAAGAGGAATAAGCTTGAAACGCGAATCGACTGTCAAGGACTTGGGAGTCATGCTCGATTGCAAATTAACGTTCAAGGATCACATTGCCAATGTTGTATCTAAAGCTTCATCGCAGCTAGGATTTTTATTCCGTTTCGCCAAAAGCTTCAAGGACGTGTATTGCCTGAAGGCTTTATACTGTTCCCTGGTTCGACCTATACTGGAATACTCTGCCGTTGTTTGGTCGCCATTCTATCAGAATGCCATCCATAGAATTGAAGCTGTTCAGCGAAAATTTATTCGCTTTGCGTTGCGACACCTTCGTTGGCGCGACCCGCGTAACTTGCCGAGCTATGAAAGTCGCTGTAACCTCATCGACCTGGAGCTCTTGGAAGGAAGGCGTAATGTGGCGAAGGCTTGTTTCGTTGCGGATCTTCTGCAAGGGAACGTCGACTGCTCCACACTTCTCAGTCTTCTTGACATCAACATTCAACGACGGGACCTCCGGCTGCATGCGTTCTTCAACAACCGGCGTTCGAGGACCAACTATGGCGTACACGAACCAATGTTGAGTATGTGCCGCGTTTTCAATAGTTGTTATTATGTGTTCGATTTTAATGTGTCCCGCGAGAAAAATAAGCGTAGCTTTAAGAGATGTTTGCGTTAATTTTGTGTTTGAAGCAGTTTTGATGTTTAGATATAGAAAATTGTCATTAGGGTAACTATTTTATCTGTTGACAAGTAGAAATAAATAAATAAATAAATAAATAAACAACCTCATTAACTTCAGGAAAATTGCAAGAACTTTCAAGGAGTTGCGAGGAATTATGGGAGTACATTTCAGGAATCTTTCGAAAACTTCACAGACATTGCGAGGTCTTCATGGATATTTTATGGCTATCAGAAAAACTGCTGGATCATTAGAACATGTAAGAGACTGCAGGGAGTGTTGTGCTAGTAGCCCCCAGATATCTCTATCTTCCGGAATGTTTCACCAACTTCTCCTTTAAGTTTCTTACGTTTGTTCCGTAGGCCCTCTGGCATCCGACTTACTCCACAAGTTTCTTCCAATCTACCTTCCAGCGTCTACAGGAAGTTTCTTCCGTCTTCTCCATTGAATTCTCCAAGAAATTTCTGTCGTCTTCCTCTGGAAGTTTCTCCATAAGCGATTCCCTGTTGGTTTTTTTCCAACTCCTATTGGAAGGTTTATCCGAGAATCATCTCTCAAAATTACAAAAATGATGATGTACTAAAAAAAAACATGCCATTTGACAGAAATCAAAACGTGAATACCATTTTCACCCACTGGCCATCTGTGAGTCAATCGTCACTTTGATTCTTCAATCTACTTCCTTCAGAAGTTAAAGTTAAGAAGTTAAGTTAATGATACAGATAAGCATGAAAACAATCCGGCAACGCTGAGACTAAAGTAGAACAGAAGCTGTGGCAACTAAATGCCGGAATTTCAATCCAGGATGTTAAAGCATCTTTCATCCAAAGTAAGTAGCGAAGCAATTTTATTTACAACCCGAAGAAATACGAAACAAACAAGACAGTACGAAGCAAGCAGAAGGAAAATCCTGTGATGTTCAACTGGAACTGTCTGCCGGCTATCATACCGCGGACGTCCAAAATATCATTACTACGTTCAGCCCTCGAGCCATTTGTCAAGATTTCGCCACGTCTTATTGAAAACGCGTTTTTCGTTTTGCTTCTCCCAAGCAAGACACTTATCTTGATAACTTTGTTTGCCGACCACCTGCTCATGTTTTAAGTGAAATGCCACGTGCCCTCTGTTGGAGGGAACATACAATCACAGGAAAAACATCTTTCAAAACAGTTCCCGGGAGGACCATCAGCAGCACGACAGTGTCGCTCGCCGTCATTTGGGGTTAATTTTGAGTGTGCTTTTATGGCCTATTTACCGGGTGCTGGTCAGGACCATCATCGTCGGACTAAGTACCCCAAAGTTCGTCCTAAATCGCCCGAAAAAAAGCCTTCGCCATGCTTGGCTTCCCGTGGTTACTATTATGCGTCTAGCTCGGGCGATGATGAAGTGATCCATTATAATTTCGCGAGTTCATTCCATCCGTCCACCCACGCCACCACCTCTCGGATAACATGGATGTGAAGCGAACGTTTTTGTTTTTTTCTCACCAGATTTTTAAAGGTTCATCGCTGGGAAAAACAAGCAACCATTATCGACCGCTCCCGAGCAGAAAAATGGGCAATGACAGCGAAACGGCAGAGGATGCTATCTCCAAGGGCGCTGCTGATGGTTGCCTCGTGTTTGCTGGGGAAAATAGATGGCTACGATAGCTTTATTAAATTAATCTTAAATTAGAAAATAACACTCTGCTCATTCGCCGGCCGGAGACGACGCGGAGGGAAAATGGTTTGAACTTTTTTTTAGAACGTGGATAGGTACGAATTTTCTTGGTCGTCTAGCGGGTTGGGAAAAAAATAACGCTCTGTCTCTGGCATTAACGTCATTATTCTTTTAAATTTGTCAACAATTTAAGGAAAACACCCCAAACAGTATGCTCCATGGATGAAAAACGACTCATACAAACCAAATTCCACGAACTATTTTTCACGCTCCAGTTCAAATTTTGCAGGAATTCAGCTTGGTTTAACAATTTAGATCCCCAGTATTCAATGCCCCGCAGGCAGCCAGCTCTACCGGCCGCTTGTGTTCATGCTTTCAGCGTTTGCCTCCGGTTGTTTGTTTCTCGGCGGTGGCAGTTGGAAACTCGGTTGACCGCAAAGTTTTGACAAAGCCCGGTGAACTTCTGAGAATTTCAACGCGAATGGCCCCGTCCGTGCCCTACAGGCGGTGTTTGTTGTTTTGCTTAATTAGAGGTGAAACCAAAGTAGGCGTAGCGTTAAAGGGAATTTTGGTCTTTTAAAACTTTGTTGAAAGCTGATTTCTGTGCAATGATGGCTTTAGATAATTGAAAGTGCTGTTTGGTGCTGACAATTTTTTTTGTTCACCAGGATTGACTAGGACCAGGGCTGGCAAATGTCATTTTCAATGAAAGATTTCACGCGATATTTACAGAGATACTTTTGTCACTATCATCGGATGAGAAAACGATGATAGAGATTTTCTTCAAAATATCATCGAATTTTGCGTCATGACAAAACGTGACAGTGTTGTGATCATCGTAATTACTAGCTCATTTATTGCTTTTAAAGTTACTTGTACCGAGAAAATCGTAATAATATATTCACTCTATCGATTACATACGGTTACTTGCGTGAATTAATCTAAATCAGTTAGAAATGTAGATGTTAAAACCGCAATAGAATTATTCTCATGAGTGCTTGATCATTGGAAAATGACGAGAAAGCTAATGATAGGTAGTGTCGTCTCGTGATAGTGAGAGGACCTGTTTTCTCATTCTCACATGACGGCCGTGATATTTACCAGCTCTGACTGAACAAATTAATATTTTTAGTATTGTCATTTTGCACTCGATTCTGCCCCAGGGGTGGTTTGGTTAATAATAATTCAATGGAATTGAAGAGTTTAACCGAAACGTTAAAGTATTTTGCAACAGATCTCAACGATTTTACATTATTTCTTATCATGGAATCCACGTGCATACTTGTCATCTGCGAATTTTGATTACAAAAATTCAATAGCAAATAAAATTTTCCTAAGTTGAAAATAATTTGATAACTTTATTAGAAAAATTATTAGAAAATTTTGTAAACTTCAAAATTATTAGAAATTGTTGAAACCTCTAATTTCAGATCTATGAATTTGGAAACCGGAACAGGGGACTTTCTCGTCACGAAATTCACATAAAAGATTGATCACTTGCGTAGGAAATTAATTTGGCAAGGCATTTGTGACACCTTCCTGTCGTATGAAACAGACCCATCCTGTCCAAATCCGTAAATTTTTTTGGTTTTGGCATTTCTTATGGCAAAATGGCGAATTTTTCATGAACATTACTGGCAAAGAA